GAAGACTTTTATGGTAATTTGAAGCCTGTATAAATGCGTTTATTTTATACTTAAAAAGCGTTTCAGTTAAATGTCGTTACCAAACCGTTTGGTCGGTCGACTTTTTGTTTGAGTCTGATTTGATGTAAGGCATAGAATAGGCAGTCAAAAGACATGGCATCAAGAGTTCAGGCAATATGTGTACAGTGGACAGAAAAGTATAGCCTTTTAGATTCAAATTAGCGAACAGTGGACAGAAAAGTATAGCCTTTTAAATTCAAATTAGCGAACAGTGGACAGTAAATCATAGCCTTTTAAATTCAAATTAGCGAACAGTGGACAGAAAAGTATAGCCTTTTAAATTCAAATTAGCAATAATTGTAAGTGATTTTATTGTTCTCATATGTTTTGAGTTAATGATACGCGACGAAAACTTTTTTTTACAAAAGAGATCAATTATAATTTGTGCTTGTGCTGCTGTACGCATAACTAGAAAGTCTTTTGTTTATGGCTTACTAACTTGTTTGAAGCGATTATAGCTTCTCTGACAAATGAATTCAATCGTATACGGCATTATGCTTGATTTAAATCTAAAAGGTTATATACCTTTTTTATACACACTGTATAATAGAAAGCGTTTCAGAAGGATGCTTCGCATTAAAATATTGACAGCATATATTAAATATTAAAGCATCATCTAAAATTGTAAAGTCCCGTTCATGCTAGTGGAATAAGCACAAGCAGAAATGCAAAAGAAAACTTTGAATTGAATATTTTTTTCAATTCACTGCGTTGTCTGCTCCCATGTCGTAATGAATCTAAAAGTCTCTATTATGAGCAGGTTCCTTGCATTTTTCTTCTTATCGTGAAGTACCGTAAGTGCAATGGGAGCGATTCATGCACCGCATGAATAATTTTGTTTTGACGTCAAACTGTTGTTGTAATAAAAAGTCAAACAGACAACTTGTGGCTTACTTGTATGATTATCTATTGTTTGACTTAAATTAAACTTGACAAAACTTTGAAGTGTTAACTTCAGGCCGCTTTTGCAATCAGGATTTCCGATCCATGTGGCCTTCCGCTGTGTATAAAGCTTGACACTAATATCATTGTAAACTCATTTCAACCAACTATTCATTCGGTTTGAAGCAAGTTCTGAAAGGTAAGGATTACATGTTCTTGCTCAATTTCTGGTATAGACTGTGTTATAAACAAATTATTTGAACTTTTAAACGGTTGTTGTTTATAGAATTAATATGGTCATGGTGTGTCAGTTGAATACGCCTTGAAGTTTGGTGTGTTTCACGCCTCTTTAGTCCTTCAGTTTTTGTGAGATGTTATTTGTTAGGTGATTTGGCTTTTTTTCTGCTTTTTGTATCAATAGGAAGCAGCAATTACCTGGGTTGATAAAAGAAGCAAACCAGTACATGTAAGTACTAAAACTGATAGATGTGAACGTGACACGTAGTTTGATAGTTATATAATTATGTTATCTTCATGCAACCATTCACCTGATCTTTCGTCCTATAAACAGTCTCATTCAAAGGCACTTATGTTCTTTTCTAAATATTCCTCTTATTTTTGAACACAAATCCAAACAGTCAAAGCAATTGGGAGCGCCTGTAAAACGTCATCCAATTAATGCTGATGGTAATTGTTTATTTCGATCTTTATCTTTATCGATCTTTATATTTAATGTTTTAGTTATGCCTACACGCCTACGCATTGATAAGGGTACTGAAACGGCGGATATGGCCACCATGCACTCCTACCTTCTATCAAAGCATGAAAGTGATGAAGATTCAGCAGATTGTGTCATTTATGGCCCATCTACCGAAAACAAGATAGAACGATGGTGGAAAGAGTTACTAGAAAGACTGGAAACATTTTTTAAAGACCAGTTAAGGAAGTTATTAGAAGATGGTGATTATGAACGAGATATTCCAATACATAGGTACAGTAGACTGTACTACTGGGTAAGCATTTAGTTATATTTATCTGCAAAGGACTAATAAGTTATCTTTTCTTTCTTACTAGAAATATGCTGGCATATGTGTATGTTCCAGTAGTTCAAAAAGAGTTAGACATCTTTAGAAAAACAGTGTGGAATTCTCACCGTGGAAGAAAGCAGCAAAAAAAACAACTTCCTTGTGGGGTTCCTGACCATATATACTATCACCCTGAGCAGTATGGAGGTGAGCGATGTGGCTACATTGTCAGTGAAGAGCATTTGGAAGAAGTTGCGAAGTTATCTGGTGTTTTGGAAGACACAGATGATTTTCTGAATGTACAATTCCGAGCAAGTTGTGAAGAGCACATCCCAAATACTGATGAAATAAAGCCTGACCAAGCTGCAAATGCATACTTGTTCCTGAAGTCACCTTTAACATAAACATACAACTGAAAAGGATGTGACAAATAGTGCGGTTCCAGAAAATATCCATATAACTCTTCTCCCAATCATGTAATGTATAATAATTAGTAGAGACTGATGGATGGGTGGATCATTTTGGAGATCTAGGAGGGTGTTATGGATATTTTCTGGAACTACACATTGGGGGGGAGGGTGTAGTCCAGGTGTGAACATGAGAAAATTTAATGTTACAAAGCCCATTATAGAGGCCATTAGAACCAATGGTTGAGGCCAATCTAGCAAATAAATTGAACTCTGTTCATCAGATCAAAACTACATTTTGGAGTTTCTTCAACTGTCTAAAATACTTATAAAATACTTTAAAAATCACAAATCCCCAAACCTGATCAAATTACTGACCTAGACCTGGCTTCTACATTTCAAAACTACCTTTTCCATGTTGCATAATGTATGTATGGAAAAAATATGGCAATAATGTCGCATAAAGTTTGTACATAGGTTCATACTTAACAAATGTAATCATGTATCATAATTAACAAGTGTAAATTACTAAACTTGAATGATTAAACATTATGATCTACAACAGTAAATATATTATATTTCTCAAAACTAGTGTCAATGTAAAAGTTATCTTTTAACAAGGTTCAAAAACAACAATTTGAAAAAGAACTTAACAACTAACAATACAGTTGGTCTCTAAATCCATTCATCCTGGAATGTTTAGTTGCTACAGTACACATATGCCCAGAAGTGTACAATACTTGTTGCACTTGTGGTCTAATAAAAACCTCTCTATTGCTATGGTAGATAGGTTACCATAGCAAAACAAAACTGCTTTGGTAGTATCATCAAGAAGTTTAGCACTAGCTATTTCAGGGTCATATAAGAAGTATTTAGTTCCTGGATATCTAAAACCATGATTGTGTTTTTTGACTTTGCATATGTAAAATGTGCAAATGCTTCAGCCTTTGCAGAAATTTCACTGCCTTTTACAATAATTTCACCATCATTATTTATATACTTAACAAACTCTCCTTCCATATAAGGCTCAACAGTAACAAGTTGACCATCACAACTTCTTCCCAAATACACTTTGGTATACTTGAAAGTCTCTCCAAATTCTTTGCAAGTGGAAACCTCCTTCTCCATTGCTGATGCATAATACTTTGCTAAAGTGTGCATTTGTACAGACTTCCTTGTGTGATTATCAACTGATCCAAATACTTCTTCTATAGCCTTCACCTCGTCAGGTTTATAACGATTAACCACGTACTTCCCTTTAAGACCAGAAATTCCTTGGGCTTCAAAAGCATTTCTGAATGCTCCACTAGCAAAAGATGTTTTGCTTACTGATAACTTGACAGGAAATGGAAGAAGCCACTCCTTTTTATCAATGGAAAATTCCTCGAGGTATAACTCAACAATTTATTCATCACATTTTGGAGGGATCATTTTGTCAAGTTGGAGAATTTTACTCAGTGGAACTGACTTTGGAAATGATGAAGGCGTCGCTTTCTTTTTCGGAGAATCTATGTTTAGAGATCTTCGCGTTTCTGTAAAATTCCTTACGCGGGGTTTGTCAGCCTTTTAAGTCCTCGGTTTTTTCGCTGCTGTCCCACTCGTTAAACGATCTGAGGAACTGAGGAGAACTGGATCTTCCTCGTCAACGCCTTCATCATCATTGTCGGCAGCTTGATCATTAAAGTGAAATCTTACGTGCAGTAATTTAGTGTTCTTTATTTGATCGATGCTGGTGTATGACGGACCTCTTTCACCAGCTAGCACGTCACACTCCATAACCGAAGCTATGCCAAAATGATTCTTGCAGGCTTTCTTTATATTATCAAGAGTTAGTGCATCATATGGAAAAGGCACGATTGTCAAGGGTCAAATGCGGCCGTATTTTTAACATTTTCCTTCTACATCAGCGGTTAATCTCTGCACAGTCAAATAATCTACAACGTCAGGGAAATTTTCATCCTTCTTTCGCCTTTTCTCTGCATGTTTTTTCTTAAAATTGTCCCATTTACATTTGTTTTTGTTCGACATTACTGAAGCGAATAAAACAGCATTCAAGCAATGCAACATGTGCTTCGAATAATATCGACACCCACAAAGCATCATGGGCTATGGCACTCATAGACTGCTTCGAATTTTTTTTTAAATTTATTTTTATACTGGCACGAATAGGCTAGAGAAAAAAAAAAAAATTTTATTTTTTTGGTTATTTTTTTTCAAAAAAAATAAAAAAAGTGAAAGAAAAACAAAAATATAACTTATTTTAAACAACATGTAATCGAAAATATTTATGGCCCTCCTAGGCCACCATAGACAGCTTATGCAAGGTGAGGAGGATTTTTACGCAAAGCTTTATTGTGTTTAGAGATATGCATATAAAAATAATTATAATAACTTGTAGGTACACCACGTAAGTATTAAATACTGCAAAGCTTTCGGTCCGTTAACCCGGACCTTCATCAGTGCAATTACTCAAAGCAATTACTCAATTACTCTTACTCTTACTCTTATTCTTCAATTACTCTTTTATCTTTTGACGTCCGAAAGATCAAAAGATAAAAAAAGACAAGAAGATTTGGCTGTTGACACTCTAAGACGCACTGTTGTTAACCAAAGTGCGCGAAAACTTATGCCGGTTGAAGAAGAAGTCTTGGCATTGGGTTTAAATTTCGCTGTTGTACCACACAAGATTCCTAAAGAAGAAATCGTTCAACATCTGGAACCAAAGTTGAATCATCTCAGAGATGATATAGCATCCAACATTCGTGTTAAAGTAACTGAGGTCTTGCGACGTACAACTTTACCCAAGTCTAATCTTTCCAAGGAGCAGAAGGATGCAGTGAGGAACCTAAGGGCAGATAAGTCTATACATATTTTAAAGGCTGATAAGGGTAATGCTACGGTTTTATTAAATCGTGCAGAGTACGAAAGTAAAATCCATGCTCTTCTTGAAACTCCAACATATAAAGAGCTAAAACGTGATCCTACAGCCAATATTGAACGTAAAGTATGTTCTAAACTATCTGAACTTAGGAAATCAGGTATTTTGTCTCAAAACCTTCATGATTATTTGAGACCTTCATGTAGTGTGTGCCCAAAATTTTATGGTTTACCCAAAATACATAAATCAGGTGTACCTCTTAGGCCTATAGTTGCATCCCAAGGTTCACCGACTTATAATTTAGCTAAATATCTTGCTAGAATTTTAAAACCAGTTGTTGGTCAAACTGAACATCATGTAGTTAATTCTAAAGAATTTGTTAAGAATATGCAAGATGTTAGATTAGGTAAAAATGAAATTCTTGTCAGTTTCGATGTAGTTAGTTTATTTACTAATGTACCAGTAGATGAGGCGTGTAACATTGCGAAAGACAGGCTGCTTTCAGATGATACCCTCTCTAAAAGGACTAGCCTTTCTCCTGAGAGTATATATGAACTACTGAAATTGTGCCTGAATACAACTAGTTTTCAGTGGCGGGAGAAATACTACGAGCAAACTCATGGTGCTCCTATGGGTAGTCCCTTATCACCAGTTATGGCTAATTTATTCATGGAAGAATTTGAAAAGAAAGCTATAGCTACAGCATGTTTAAAACCTGGTTTCTGGTTTAGATATGTAGATGACACATTAAGTAGTTGGTCGCATGGTTTAGAAAATTTGAATAAATTTTTAGATCACATTAATAGTATACACCCTTCAATTAAATTCACATTAGAAATACAGAAAGATAACTCTATATCTTTCTTAGATATCTTATTTGATGTAAAAGAGAACGGGACTTTGGGCCATAAAGTTTATAGAAAACCAACACACACTGACAGATATCTGAATTATAGTTCATTTCACCATCCTAGCATTAAAAGATCAGTATGCAAAACATTAATCAACCGTGCCAAAACAATTTGTGATTCAAATAGCATTGACTCAGAGTTAAAGCATTTGAAGGATGTTCTGCACATGAATGGTTATCCTAAGAAATTCATAGAACATGCTATGAATGAACAGCAAAGACAGAGGCAAGACACGGAATATCTATCCTCTGTCTGTTACCATATATTGGCCCAGCTTCATATAAAATCGTTAGGATTTTAAAAGAAGTTGGAATACAAGTTTACCATTCTAGCAATAACAAATTGTTTCGCGCTCTTTACACACACAAGGATGGCGTCGATGAACAACAGAAACCTGGTGTGTACCGCATTCCATGTGAATGTGGTTTGGTTTACATTGGAGAGACCGGTAGAAATCTCTCAATACGTCTTAAAGAACATAAGACGAACTGCGAGAAAGGTAAACTGGATAAATCTGCAGTAGCTCACCATGCATGGACTTATGATCATCGCATTAAATGGAACGATGCTACCATTTTAGCAAACGATAAGTTTACTGTCTCTCGTAAAATGAGAGAATCTATTGAAATTTATAAACATCAAACTATCGTCCAAGAGGGAAAGCCACTTAATAGTACGTGGCGTGCTCTTTTCGGTGTCTCTTAGTCAAATACTTGTCTAGGGCGCGCGCATTAGTTAGAACTTAATTAAATGAAACCGTTTAATTAATAGCGCGAGCAAACTAATCACGACTAACATGATATTTAAGTGACGCGCAAACGTGTATTCAAGTAATTGCACTGATGAAGGTCCGGGTTAACGGACCGAAAGCTTTGCAGTATTTAATACTTACGTGGTGTACCTACAAGTTATTATAATTACTAAAGTCGCCATGCAATCATACAAGAAAATTATTTCATATAAAAATAGCTGCAAAAATAGAAATATCAAAAGCATGACAGGGATTAGTGAATGATTTTTGCCACAAGACGCCCGAGTAAATATATTTTTCGGCCATTAGCAAATATTTTAGATAAAGATTTTCAAATTTTTTGACCTTAATGAAATGAACTGCTGGTCTAATATTCTGTTGTATGCTTTGTCAATCCCTTCTTATCATTCTTGCTCAATTTGAAATCTAGCAAATCAATATTAAAGAATTTAACTTTCAATGTCTGACATCTCATATAAGGGAAAAATTGATATTTTAGACAATGGTTTTCAAATTTTTTGAACTAAATGAAAAAAACTACTGGTCTAATATTCTGTTGTGTCCTTTGCAAATCCGTTCTGAACATTGTTACTGAATTTCAAGTTCTGCAAATCAATATTAAAGAATTTATCTTTCAAAATCTGATATCTCATATAAGGTAAAAATTGCTATTTTAGACCATGGTTTTTAAATTTTTTGAACTGAATAAAATGAACTGCTAGTCTAATATTCTGTTGTATCCTTTGCCAATCTCTTTTGCATATTCTTACTGAATTTCAAGTTCCGCAAATAAATATTAAAGAATTTAGCTTTCAAAATCTGACATCTAATATAAAACAAAAATTGTGTTTTGGACAACTGGTTTCAAATTTTATGACCTGAATGAAATTAACTGCTGGTTTAATATTCTGTTGTATCCTTTGCCAATCCCTTTTCAACATTCTTGCTCAATTTGAAATCTAGCAAATCAATATTAAAGAATTTAACTTTCAATGTCTGAAATCTCATATAAGGGAAAAATTGCTATTTTAGACAATGGTTTTCAAATTTTTTGACCTGATTGAAATGAACTGCTGGTCTACTATTCTGTTGTATCCTTTGCCACCCCTTCTGAACATTCTTACTGAATTTCAAGTTCAGGAAATCAATATTAAAGAATTTAGCTTTTAAAATCTGATATCTCATATAAGTGAAAAATTGCAATTTTCAACAATTGTTTTGAAATTTTTTGACCTTATTAAAATGAACTGCTGGTTTAATATTCTGTTGTATCCTTTGCCAATCCCTTTTTCAACATTTTTGCTCAATTTGAAATCTAGCAAATCAATATTAAACAAAGTTTTTCAAATTTTTTGAACTGAATAAAATGAACTACTGGTCTAATATTCTGTTGTGTCCCTTGCCAATGTTTTCTGAACTTTCTTACTGAATTTTAAGATCAGCAAATCAATATTAAGAATTTATCTTTCAAAATCTGACATCTCATATAAGGGAAAAATTGCTTTTTCGACAACTGGTTTCAAATTTTTTGACCTTAATGAAATGAACTGCTGGTCTAATATTATGTTTTGTTTTTGCCAATCCCTTTTGAACATTCTTACTGAATTTCAGTTCAGCAAATCAATATTAAAGAATTTATTTTCAAAACTGACATCTCATAAGGGAAAAATGCTACTCTGGACATGTTTTGAATTTTTTTGACCTGAATGAAATGAACTGCTGGTCTAATATTCTGTTGTGTCCTTTGCCAATCCCTTTGCATTCTTACTGAATTTCAAGTTCAGCAAATCAATATTAAAGAATTTAGCTTTCAAAATCTGACATCATAAGGGAAAAATTGTTTTTTGGACACTGGTTTCAAATTTTTTGACTGAATAAATGAACAGCTGGTCTAATATTCTGTATCCTTTGCCAATCTCGCTGCACATTGTTACTGAATTTCAAGTTCAGCAAATCAATATTAAAGAATTTAGCTTTCAAAATCTGACATGTCATATAAAGAAAAATTGCTTTTTGGAAAGGTTTCAAATTTTTTGACCTGAATGAAATGAACTGCTGGTCTAATATTCTGTTCTATGCTTTGTCAATCCCCTCAACATTGTTGCTCAATTTCAAGTTCAGAAAAATATTAAAGAATTTACTTTCAATGTCTGACATTATATAAGGGAAAAATTGCTATTTTAGATAAAGGTTTTCAAATTTTTTGAACTAAATGAAATAACTACTGGTCTAATATTCTGTTGTGTCCTTTGCCAATCCGTTCTGAACATTTTGCTGAATTTCAATTTCAGCAAATCAATATTAAAGAATTTACTTTTGTCTGATATCTCATTAAGGGAAAAATTGCTATTTTAGACCATGGTTTCAAATTTCATGACCTGAATGAAATTAACTGCTGGTTTAATATTCTGTTGTATCCTTTGCCAATCCCTTCTGAACATTGTTACTGAATTTCAAGTTCAGCAAATCAATATTAAAGAATTTAGCTTTCAAAATCTGATATCTCATATAAGGGAAAAATTGCAATTTTGAACAGTTGTTTTGAAATTTTTTGACCTTATTGAAATAAACTGCTGGTCTAATATTCTGTTGTATCCTTTACGAATCCCTTCTGAACATTCGTACTGAATTTCAAATTCAGCAAATCAATATTAAAGTGTCTATGTCATGATTGGGGAAATAGACTTTTTAGATAGTTTAGACGATTTTAAGAATTTTTGCAATATATTTGATAGGTCGAAAATTTCATCTTCATTGACTTTGAGGGCCTCAAATTTGGTGATTTTGACAATTTTAACGTTTGACCGTGACCCTGAAAAAACTGGTAACTAATGTTATGTGTGACGTCAAATCGGGAAGTCGCAAAGAGAACAATGCGCTTTTCTATAGAAATAAAACAGTGCTGCATTGTAAAAGCGGGGTTAAGCGAATATTTTTTTGAAGATTTACGCCTTTTGTGTTCGGCATCTTCAGTGTTAAGATGCCACACAGGTGTTTCGTCTTTGGTTGTTCCAACACAGCGAATTTACGCGAAGGAATTGCACTGCACAGAATTCCGTATGCAAATGATATGCGGCCCGAGGCAAAAAAGCGAAGAAAGACTTGGGTAGATTTTGTCCGACGGAAACGTGAAAAATGGGAGCCTTCTGTCCATTCAGAAGTTTGCTCTAAACATTTTAAAGAAGAGGATTTTGTGAATCGCTACATTGGCGTCAATGAAATGCCTGACGCAGATAAACCATTGCTCGTGGCTCCTCGCTTGA